CTTTAGGGGATTGGCCTAATACGTTATGATACGTTCATACACTGGTTATGTAGCTGGTTTAAAAAGGTTTTCTGGGGGCCGCCCGGGTAGCTCAGTCGTGGAGCATGTGCCTTTGGCTCAGGTCATGATCCCAGGGTCCTGGGATAGAGCCCTGAGGGCTCCTTGCTCAGCGGGGAGCCTACTTCTCCCTCTCCCTCTGCCTGTTGCTCCCCTGCTCGTGCTCGCTCTATCGAATAAATAAATAAAATCTTTTTTAAAAAAGTGATGTTTAAAAAGTTTTTCAAAGAATAAGGATGTACTTATGTACTGATATGTAAAAAGATCTCTAAGATACATAGTTAAGCAAAGAAAGCAAAGTGCAGGAGAGTGCATTTATTGTACTAAAATAATTTGTGTAAAAGGGGGAATGAGAATATATATTTGTATTTGCTTGTATATACATCAAGAAACTGCAGAGAATAATGACAATGGTAACCTGGAGCATTATATAATTAGAGAGTTATGTGGGAGATTGTTTTTTATGTTATTCCTTGTTACATTCTTTGACTTTAGAATCATGTGAAAATTTTACCTGTTTAAATAAACTGTATTTTAAAGAAATTGAAACATATAGTCAATTTTATTTTTGGTTTTTTTTTTTTTTTTGAAACATACAGTCAATTTTTAAAATAGTATCAAAAGTACTATAAAGAGAAAGGGTGCGTTAAACAGTGCTCTCCATCCCATATCAGCTTCAAGGGTGGGGCAGGGTGGGGTTGGTTCATGTTCATTAGAAACCAGAACATCCAGTTGAGTACTGTGAATGAACATATTATGATTGCTTCTTTCATGCTAGACTTACCCAATTAAACTGTTCATGGAGCCTAATAGGACAGCTGTGGTGCCATAGAAAGAACAAAGATTTTGAAGCAAGAAACTTGAATTTGATTCCTGTTGTCTACTGTTTTCTGGCCTTGAGATTTTAGACAAATTATTTTAACATTAATCTACCAAAACCTCTCTATATATACAAAGAATAATTGAAATAATGTGAGCATGCTTTGTAAGTTATCAAATACCATATAAAAAGACCTATTGTTATGTGTATTTTGGTTTATATTGCATAGTAATCAACCCGTTCAGTTGGTCATAATTGTATTGCTGAACATTAGTTGCAAACAAAACATTCTTAGCATATGACTTAGTTACCTCCTTCAAAAAAAATGGAAGTATGGATTTCCGCAACTTTCTTCAGCTGTCTGTGTCCCTGGCCTCCAGAGCCTACATTGCCTTCCTACTGGACTTTGGTCTCTCCAAAGACTTGTGTTCAGCAAAAATTACCTTTCTTATTGAGTGGTGTATGTATTTCTGCCTTTGGTGCTTCGGAATAGTTTCCTTTCCATTCCTCATAGGGTTTAAATCTTCATAATTATTTTCTGTGTGAGGTCAGAGAGTTGCTGCTTCCTGACCTCCAGACTGAGATAGAGGGGCTCCAGTTCCTTTGTAAAGCCAACTTTTCTCTCTCCTTCTGTTCCCCTCCACTTATCCCCTACCCTGTTCCATGAGTTACTGTCTCCCATTCTGGTTTCCTTAGTCTCTTCTGCTAGTCCTAACTCTGTGCTTTGACCCGGTAAGTATGCTCAGGTCAAACACCCCTGAAAAGTTTTCAAATGTGAATCCCTTCTGTTGTCACATCTTGTATTTTTTTCCTTCAAAGAATGATTGCCTTTAACTCTTCAACTTCCATTCATTCCCCAGTTCACTATGATATATGATCTCGTTACCCTCTTAACTATTTTACTTTCGTAAAAACACTGGCCAACTTTCCCCTGCTAAATTCAGTGGCTTTTCAGCTCTCCTACGGCCTGACTGTTGATGAAACTGCAGACTGTACTCCTTTGGCTGCTGTCATGTATTCTTCCTGGGATTTCTTCCCTCTCCCCTATTTTTCTCTTAATCTCTCTGGCTGGTTTTTCTCCTATCAACCTGCTGCTAAAGCTTAGGGGTTATTCACTTCTCTGCTTGGTCGTCATCCCACCCTGCTTTTCTTTCCACAGTTGTTGGATTACGTAATAACCAAGTCCATACTGTTCCTCTTTCAGTCTATACTCTCCCTGAGATTTCATCCATTTCCATAACTATAGAAACTAATGAATGCCAGACTGTACCCTTGGACTTTGCTCCCTGGTTGCCGGTACCTCACATTCACCTTTCTCCCTAATTAAAATACTTCTCCTCTCCTCCTGCCTGCTCATCTTCTTGTGTCCCCTGCTGTATCAATGCCATCATGGCACCTTCCCAGTCCCTTATGCCAGAAACCTCCAGAATCATCCCTGACTCCTTCCTGACCATTCACATGTAATTCGGCACAATGCCCTGTCAGTTCTGCTTCTGCAATACCTTTTGCATACATCTGCCTGTTTTCATCACCACGCAGTCAGGTTTCTTTAAAATGAAACATAATTTAATGTGTCACCACCTCAACCTTATTAATTTTTATGACTTTTATTGCCTATAGGACAAAGTCTACAGCCCTTCGGCATGGCAAATGAGATTTTTTACAACCTGTTCCTAACCTTTTCCTGCCACCAGTCCTGACAAACTGTGTTCCCCAGCCACCTTAGGAGTCCTCACTGTTTTGTTTTTGTTTTTGTTTTTCCAAGATATTATTGATTTGACAGAGAGACAGCGAGAGAGGGAACACAAGCAGGGGGAGTGGGAGAGGGAGAAGCAGGCTTCCTGCTGAGCAGGGACCCCCCCACCCCATGCGGGGCTCCATCCCAGGACCCTGGGATCGTGACCTGAGCCAAAGGCAGACACTTAATGACTGAGCCACCCAGGCGCCCCTCTCACTGGTTTTCTGTATAGGCCTTATTTTTCAGTTTCACACCTTTACACCACTGTCACGTCTCTGCTTGGAGACCATTCACCTTCCACTCACTTTTCTCAGGAATCGTATCTTTGGGGTGCCTGGATGGCTCAGTCATTAAGAGTCTGGCTTTGGCTCAGGTCATGATCCCAGGGTCCTGGGATGGAGCCCTGTATTGGGCTCCCTGCTTAGCGGGAAGCTTGCTTCTCCCTCTCCTACTCCCCCTGCTTATATTCCATCTCTTGGTATCTCTCTCTCTTTCTCTGTATCAAATAATTAAATAAAATCTTTTTTTTTTTTAAAGGATCATATCTTTATGCTGCCTTTTTGGACCACATAGAATGATCAGTGCTGCAGCACTTTATTCGTGTCTCTGACACACTGTTTATCCTGGATTAAAGCAAACATAAGATCTTAAGGATCTTTTTAATTTCAGTATTGCCATGGCACAGTACCTGGAATATAGAATTTTGATAATTACTTACAGGATGAATATTTTCAAAGTAAAGTGAAAAAGAACTCAGCCAGTTCTCAGTGCAGACACTGAGTCTGCCAAGTGTCTGTGTTGTCTTGTGAACAGCTCATTGAGAGGTGGTTCAGAGCTTGATTTCTGGTGGGTCATGCCCGGGTTCAAACCCTCCCTGTAATGCTTCCTAGCTGTGGCGGTTTCCCCACCTACAAAGTGGTGACGACGGGGTGGCTGTGAGAATTTAATGTAAAGCACGTATCACAGTCCAGTACATCCTAATAATTTTAAGCTATTATTAAGAGTGTAATGTATTTTTAATGACTAACAGTAATAGTTATACTCTGTAGTCAAAAATGAGGTAAAAGAATGGCATGTTCTCACACGATCTTCCTAAGAGAACCTGTTCTTATCTTAACCAAGCTGATTACATTTTACCAGCAACAGTGGCTATCAGTCTGCTTTCCTCTCCTATTCTGTACTTACCTAGGAGGAGTGCTGTCCATTTCCTCCTGTTATCTGTTATTTTTATTATTCTTATTAATGCTCTTGAGATTCACTCTCTCCTTTACAAAAAGTTGAGTTTTAGATATAACAGTGATACCAAAAAGGAAGTTGAACTTGAAAGATAAGAATGGGTAAACCCAGGATAAGGATAAAAGTGGTGTTTGGATTAAGAAACTGAGGCAAGTAGAATCTAAGAAAGGTTCTAGTTTCATTAGGTCATTTGTCAAATATTTGTTGTTCCTTCATTCTATACAGGGCAAGTTGAGGATGCCTCTGGCTGGAGGGGCATCAGAATTGTTTAAGGCCTAATTTCTCTCTGTAAAGGTTTTTTAAAATCTTTTAAATAATTTTTTGAAATAATTGTAGATTTACATGCAATTGTAAGAAATAATAGATCCCTTGTATATCACTGCAAGGATTTTAAGTCTTATTAGTAATGAAGGTTGGGCCGCCTGGCTGACTCATTTGGTGGAGCAGCAACACTTAATCTCAGGGTCATGAGTTCCAGCCCCACGCTAGATATAGAGCCTAGTTAAAAAAAATTATGAAGGTGAGATAGTTCCTTGTATAACTGGTATGAAACCGCAGGTAGAAAGCAGTTCTTGACTTTGAAAAAGGTGAGATTTCTATACTTGCAGCTGTAATAAATAAGGTTTCATGCAGGTATCAGTTTTTAAGCCAAACCTCAGAGGATTACAATTGTTATTAGGTTGAGAATGGAAGAGGAGAAAGAAGTAAAACCCAGAAAGAGCTGGGTGAGAGGGAGGACCGGGTTCCTGCACCAAAGAGCAGAAAATCATCTAGACAGACAGACATATCTACATACATACATTTATTTATTTGTCAGAGAGTGCACAAGAAGTGGAGCTGCAGGCGGAGGGAGAAGCAGACTTCCTGCTGAACAGGGAGCCCCATGTGGGATTCAGCTGAGGACCCTGGGATCATGACCTGAGCTGAAGACAGACGCTTAACCTACTGAACCACCCAGAGGCTCCTCACTAGACTTTTAAATTGCACGCCTTTTGTGAATTGATTCTTTCTTGCTTTGAGTTTTTAGAACTCAAGTAATGATGAGCCTCTCCTTAATCTCAGGTCTAATTATTCCATTTTCTGTTTTTATAGAATACCTTGACTACTGAGAGTCTGACTTCTTGAAAAAAGTTTCTCTTGTGCTTTTAGAATGACAGTAGAGAACAGCATGAGCACAGCAGTGAAAGGCGGAGACGTGGCAACCCTGGGCCATTATCTAATGGACGACCCCAGGGTAACTCACGGCAGGTGGTGGAACAAGAAGAAGAAGAAGATGAAGAGCTGACGTTGAAATATGGCGCCAAACATGTGATCATGCTTTTTGTCCCCGTGACACTCTGTATGGTGGTAGTCGTGGCTACCATCAAATCAGTCAGCTTCTATACCCGGAAGGATGGACAGCTGTATGTATGAGTGTTTAATTATTCCCAAGACTGGTCTGGCTTTCCTTTTTAGTGTGTCGTCATCACCTTGGAGGTCTCTGCTCTGAGGGAGCACGAAGGCTGGAGAGTTTGTCTTCTCTGACAGCCAGAGCAGTTGACAGAATGAGGGGTTATTATTTGTTGCTTTAAGCAGAAAAAATGAGAGCTACAGAGTTCTATTTCATGTGTGGTGTCACTGGGCGAGGCTAAATTTATTTGAAATTGAACAGGTAAAGAGTTGAATATTAATCTTTTCCACCTCAGGGCCAATGGTCCCATTGTTCTTCTGCTAGAACATTCTTCCCTTTTCTAGATTTGATGGATGAATTCTTTTCATCGTTTTCATCTTTGCTTAAATGTTAAGTCCTCAAAGGTTATTTCCCTGATCCTTGTAACAGAATTAGGTCCTTCCGGATACTCTTTCTTATAGCAGCCTGTTCTTTTTCACTTGTCATGATATGCAAATATTTATTTACATTATTTAAGCCTGGTTTCCTTCTGTAAGGTAAGGCCTATGAGGGCAAATTGTTTCTATGACTAGTTATGTAACAAGTGCTCAACAACAACAAAAAAGTTGCTAAATGAAAGGATGAAGAATTAGTGCATGCTCCCGTTCTCTAGACTCCTGGGGGGATTGTTGTATAGGTTCTGTTGCTTTTGGTACGAGCCCTTTGCCTTCAAGAAAAATACTTTGATTCAGATTCACCTAATTTTGTCTCTAGAACTGTGTAGGGCCCCTATAGGGCTCAAACAAAGCTTTAAATGAATTTTGGAATTTGAATTAGCAAACTGTGTGGCGTTCTAAAAGCCAAGGTTTTAGCCCTTTGGGAGAAAGGCTAAGACAGGAGTAAAGGGCAAGGGTTGGAGACCACAGTCAAAAGAGACTGGGGAGTACTATCTGTATAGCTTAGAGTTAGTTTTGGCTGTATATTATAGAACAGGGTTAGTAAGCCATAGTGCCCACAGGACAGATCTGCCTGCTACCACCTATTTTTGTAAATAAAGTTTTACTGGGACATACTCATGTTCATTCATATATATTGTTCATTTATATATTGTCTATAGCTGCCTTCATAGTACAGTGGCAAGGGTTCAGTGGTTGCAACAGAGGCCATATAGACCACAAAATTTAAAATATGTCCTCTTTAGTCCTTAACAGAAAGTTTCCTGACTCTGTTATAGGAAATCAAAACAACTGGTTTAAATGGTATACGTATTTTATCTCTCTCCCAGAGAGTGGTACAGGGTGGTCAGTCCAGATTGGTAGTATGTCTTCACATTCCTCAAGGACTCAGGCTCCTTCTTTCCTTTTCCTTTGGCTTCTATCCTTTAGGCTATTCAAGGTTCCTTATTGGTACTGGAGCCCCAGTTCCTTATTGGTATCGAACTTCCTGTTCAATTCAGAAAACAGGAAGCAGGAAGTGGTGAGGGAGAAAAGGACCTAAGACTTACCTCCCAGCAGAATTAATGCCTTTCTTAGAAGTTCTACACAACACATCCGCTTATAACTCATAGGCCATACTTTGTGTCATGGTCACACCTAACTGTAAGGGAGTCAGAAATAAAGTCTCTTAGCTGGGAACGCTGGAACCTGAAATAAAAGTGTGTTTATGTGAATGAGAAACCAAGGGGAAGATGGGTATGTGACATTATGTTAAAACAACTCCAGTTGTAGTTACCCTGTGGGTGAAAAAAATAATTGTAAGCCATTATTGTATAAGCCACCTTCCTTTGACAAGTAGTTTAGGTAGTTTATGTGGTAGAATCCAGTTCTCTAAACAAATCACTAATAAGCTGTGGAGAGAGAACATTTGATAAGTAATGATTTCAGTGTAAAGCATCCACTAGATGGAGCCAGTGTCTGGCTCACAAAAGTCCACCTCTCCACATTTTAGATCTCTCCTTTTATTTTGAAGCACTTGTTTTAGAGTATAGCTAATTTTCTTAGCTAAAATTCTTGGCCGGATTGCTGAGATGGAGAAAAGTCATATCAGTTGAATCAAGGAACTAAAACTGGTGTTGGAGAGGGAAGTGGTTTGAGATACCCATTAACACTTACTTCGCACTTTTGTATTTTGTTTTATTACAGAATCTATACGCCATTCACAGAAGATACAGAGACCGTGGGGCAGAGAGCCCTGCACTCGATTCTGAATGCTGCTATCATGATCAGCGTCATTGTTGTCATGACTATTCTCCTGGTGGTTCTCTATAAATACAGGTGCTATAAGGTGAGCGTGAGACGTGGAACTTTGCTTTCCAGCATGTTCTTTTTGTGATTGGGTTTTCTCCTGTCACCGTACTTGGTCCAGTAGAGAAAGGAACTTTATATTCTAGAACTGATTTGTTTGCTTTTCCCCCTTATCGTAGAACATTTAAAAACACAAAAAGACATTATGGGGAAAAATTTTCTTAACATATTCTAAATGTTTTTAACATTTTGATTTGTAGTACACTTAGGACATTCCAGATTAAGTCCTAAGACCTTTGTGAATTCCCTCATTCGCAAATAGTACTGTAGGATATAATTGTCCCCATAAAGTAATATAACTTAAAAATTTCAGATTTTCCTGAGTGCAGACCACTAGAGCTTCCTTCAGACACTGATGTTAAACTCATTGGTGACTGGTTACATTCCCATTTCTACACTGGGAGCCATGCATTCCCTCACTGGCTCTCCTTCAGTAGCACTAGCTCTTTCCTTGGGCAATAAGGGTAGGAGAGATTGTGTAGCAAAGACACAGGGCCAACCCTCCCAGCCTCTGCTTGCTTTGCTCAGCCTCTAGCTGAGGGATTCACTCTTAAATTTTAGCCACCTGCCACGTATTTCAGGTGCATGCCTCCGAGAAATCACAAATTATTACAAGCCATGAGACTTTAGGATCTTTCTCAAATAAAAGAAATAAATGATAACTGTCCAGATATTGAAGTCTACTCTTTTCCCCTCTAGTACTTATGTCTATATATGTTTAACGTAATTAAAATAAAATGTTTAATAAGTATGTGTCCTTTCTTAACTTTTACTTTGGCACAAGCATTTTTCCATATTTAAATCCTCACAAAATGTGTCTAAAGGCTATGTAACACTTGACTCAATATGAGTGTATTTTAATTTACTTACCCTATTTTCCCTGATGTTGGACATTTAAGTCATATGCATTTTTTTACTACTCTAAAAAACAATGAATGCCTTTATGGAGCCTTTTTAATTTTTCAAATTATTTCCTTAGGGTAAAATCCTCAACACAGAATTTATGGGGCAAATTATCTACATTTTTAAATTTTTATTTTATTTATTTGATAGAGAGTGCAAGAGAGCAAGAGAGAGCAGCTGTGGTGGGGAGGGGCAGAGGGAGAGGGAAAAGCAGACTCCCTGCTAAGCAGGGAGCCCGCCATGGGGCTTGATCCCAGGACCCTGGGATCATGACCCAAACCAAAGATGCTTAACTGACTGAGCCACCCAAGTGCCCCATCTACATTTTTTTAAATTATCATGGTGTGCAAAATTCCTTTTTTCAAAATGATAGTATCAATTTGTACTTAACATTAGTAGTCAATGAGACTGTCTTACCTTAACCTTTGACAGCACTGAATTTTTTTAAATTCTGTGCTAATTTTTATAAGCTAAACAAAATGCCTTCATTTGCCTTTGGTTAATTACCAGTAAGATCAAATACCGTTCCAGTGTTGACGAACTTTAAAATTATACACAATTTAGCCTTGCTTGTTGAACGTTTGAGTGGGTAGAAGTGTTAACCCGAGTGATGACCCTCTGCAGTCTGACGTTAGCAAGTGGAAAAGATTGAAGACAAAGGTGTCTATGATCATGGGAGGTCGTCATCAATACTTAGAAAATCAGAGAGCAGATGCTGTAAACCCTGTTGCAGAGCGTCCTCCTACCCCTGTTGAAATATCCTCATGGCAGTTGCTTTTTCTGCATATATGTGTTTACCTGCTAGTTCTGCTTCTCTGCTTTATTAGACTCATTTTGTGACTTTTCTTTTTAATATTTTATTTGTGTATTAGAGGGTACAAGTGGGGAGAGGGTTAGAGAAGCAGACTTCCCACTGGGGAGGGAGCTCAATGTGGGGCTCGATTCCAGGACCCTGGGATCATGACCTGAGCTGAAGGCAGACACTTAACCGACTGAGCCACCTGGGTGCCCTTCACTCTGTGACTCTGATCTGGATTATATGCTACTTTCGTTCTTCGCATTTTATGGGGAGTCTGTATCCTGTTTAGAGTCATACCCACACCTGCACACCTTAAGGATGAGCCCATAAATTCATACCAGTTATAAGTTTGCTTTCTTGAGCCTTCTTTTCTGTGATCTCCCTGGTACTTTTTGGTTCTTTTGGATGTCCCTGTTCCATTCCTCCAGCCAGAAAGCTGGTTTTATTTTACCAACGACAGTGCCAAGAAGTGGTAGGGCAGAGAGAAAAGTAAAGCAAGTGCCATCTGCCCCACTTTGGGGGAACTACCGCTCCTCCAGTTAGAGAGGAAGCTTCCCCTCACTCTGAATGTTAGGCTCCTGCAACCCTCAGTGCCACCCCCGAAGGACTGTTTGATAGCCGGATGTGAGAGGATGGTGAAGTGAGATTTTTGCATTCTTTTTTTGGTGTTAAGAGACCTCTTTCCTGTTGCTTATCCAGAAGTAGACTTCTCCTAGAGCTCCCACCATCTTGCTAATGCCCATTTGGGGTTGCAGTGAGTTTGATGGAGGAGGCTAGTACTGGAGGGGAAAACGTGCTAAACTCATTTCCAGTTCGCCAGCCCAGCTGACTGTTCACTTGTCAGAGCCCTCACCTAGCGGCTGCATGCCTTCTGGCCAGCTCTCATGGTTGCATTCGGCAAGAGAGAGGGGAGATGTGTGCTCGCTCCATGGCGCCTCAAACCTGTCTTGATATATTTTGGTCAGTTTTGTGCATCTTTTAGTTACATCTCATTTTAGACTGTCTAAAAAGGGTTTATTTTCAGCCACATTTCCACATTTATTTGCTCATGTTCTGTTGTTAACATTAAGTTCAAGTCTTAGCAGGCACAGCCAATTCTATAGGAACAAGTTGTTTGCTTTGATTTCTACTCCAAAATAAAAGGAGCTTTTTTTTTTTTTTTAAAGATTTTATTTATTTATTTGACAGAGAGAGATCACAAGTAGACAGAGAGGCAGGCAGAGAGAGAGAGAGGGAAGCAGGCTCCCCGCCGAGCAGAGAGCCCAATGCGGGACTCGATCCCAGGACCCCGAGATCATGACCCGAGCCGAAGGCAGCGGCTCAACCCACTGAGCCACCCAGGCGCCCCTA